TATTGATATTTATTCATAAATTTTTATTTCAAATAATTAATGGGATTTGACAAATCCTTAGATACATAAACAGAGCACTATGGAACACGTTTGTTTCGAGTATTTCGGTTTCAAAATTGTCGGAGTCGTGGAATTGTTAAGCGGATATAACTCCACCATGAAGCGGAGTCAAATCTGAGTCGATCCGGCTTCGGATATAATAAGCCCATCTCTAATGTGTACACATTGTGTGTAAATTTTCTTGGGTTTCGAACCAAATTTTTAATTTTAAGATTTACGTATATGGTTCTTACCGATTTGAATAATTTTAAAAAAAACATTCGATTCATATTAATAATGAGACGTGCTGATTAGTTTTTGGTTAAGGCAGATCTAGCCATTTCGATAATACAGGGCAAAAAGTGCCAAAAACAGTAACTCAGTTTTTAAGAGAACGGAGCGTCCGATTTTAATAATTCAAAAAACATTTTACTTGTATTGACAAGATGAAGATATTTACTTGTATTGATAAGATAAATTTTTGGAAAGCAGGTCCAGCGGTTATGGACTCTCAATAAAATTAAGTTAAAAAAAAGTCATTTTGCGGTCAAAAATGTTTATTGGACATATGTACATCCAATTATCAGGTACTTTATAGAGATTTTAATAATGTGTACACATTTTGAGTAAATTTTTTTGGGTAACGTACACAAAAGTACGTGCCGTAATTGCACGATGCTATGCACCCCACTAGTATTTTTGTCTTTCATTTTTATTCATTTATCTATTTCTCTTCAACAAATTAATCTGTTTTCACATTTATTGATTTTAGTATGCGATCGCGCACTTGTTTAGATTATAATTATCTGAATTTTTTACTGTGCTCCGAATTGCATTAAATTTTAGAATTAGGTTTCTCTTAACCTTAAGTTCAAAAGTGAAAACAATTCGGGTTCCACCACCACCCTCCGGGGAGTTTGCGATCCCTTAATAAATAAGTGGACATCGAGCCGTTTTATCGCTAGAAAACGTTTTTAATTTTAAAGGATACAATTAAAGACTATTTTTTAATACATTTGCCATGCAATAAAATCATTTTCAACCTCGTGAAAACCCTGAAACTCTCCAAACAACCTCTAAATTGAAAAAAAAAAAACACTAAAAATAAATTTTGGTATGATATAATAAGAATTACTTTTAAAGTAAATAATATTTTATGTTTTCTATCTTGATTACCAAGTTTTTAACCCGTGTTAGATCCTTTAAAACATCCCCTTGATGAAAAATAGTTTGAAAAAATTATTTTGAAATTGAAAGAAAATTAAGTAATTCAAAATGATATAAATGTTATTTTAATTTCTCAAAAATAATTGCCATATACATAATTTGTTCAACTCTCAAAACTACCCTTGAATAAAACAGTTAATATATTCGATTACAAATTGAAAAATTATTTAATAAAACCAAAGGTAATCATAATTTATTTCAAACTGAAACAACATTTACTACTCAATGTCGGAGTTGCTGTTATCATTATTATCTTCTTCTGGCTATATTGGAGGGCTATTCTGGCAGTTATCACCGCTACATTGGCCCCCCGAAATATACGCTAAACTGATTCATTCATATTATTTCAAAATATACGTTTTTATTATAAATATACATAAGCATATATATATATATATATATATATATATATATATATATATGTAAGTCAATCGTTTCGGGCACCAAATACTGCTTACTTATACATTGCTCAAAATATTTACACAATTAGACAAAAATGCGATTAGTATTCGCGTCATAACTCCTTTCATTTTGACTCCATCACAATTTGTAATATACAATTTCAAAGGTTAATAAAAGGGCTACAACTTTTTTCATCATATTTTTTTTCTTAACTCCTCTCATTTCGAAACGGCAAACGGTTAAGGGGCTCGAGAGAGACTCTGATTGCGCGGCCGCGCACTTTTTAAACAATCATAACTCTGTCAATTTTTGTGTGAAAGAAAAATAATAAAAATAATAATAAGCCAGAAAGATTCTTTTTATTTTCATCTATATGCTTTTATACGTATCTTTTTTTTCTTTTTGAGATATAATGAAAATAAGTTTGATTATTAAAAAAATCGGAAAAAATAGTTTTTATAAAATCGTGAGTTTTCTGAAAATAGTTTCTTAAAGTAGTGAATCTGCTAAAATCCATCAAGATGTCTATAATGAAGTTAATTCTAGATGAAATGTGAATTACTTTAATTTTGTTGGAAATGGGGCTCATTAAACTATTTGATTTAAAAGAAAAAAACATCGTATATGCTTCTTATTTGCATGATAGCTCACTCATTTTACACGTAAAAAACTTATAACGGCTCTCATTTTAAAGCTTATGTTGAGCACTATAAAGCCCAATTTCACCGAAATGCATAAAATGTAAAACCTCGCCACTAGATGGCTTTAAATACAACAATTAAATCTTGAACAAAATAAAAAACGACTTTGTTCTTTCAAATATTGCTTACTATTACTTCTAGAACACTTTATAAAACACCGATTTATTAATATTTTTATTGACATTATTTTGTTCATTACATGATTTTTGTTAAAATGTATATTTTAGGAGATATTTGAAAAAAAAAACGATGAAAAACGCCAAAAATATATGAATTTTTAGTGGGCAGTAACTTGAAAAGTATTAATTTTTTGAAAAACTATAAAAGACATTTTTTCTTATAATTAGTTCTTTCATAGAATTCCGATGTTATTTTTAAAAAAAATGTATTACACAATTGAGAAGGGGTGTCATTACCCCGGTGGGTGGTGGCGGAGCCCAAATTGTTTTCACTTTTGAACTTGAGGGTAAGATGAACCTAATTCCAAAATGTTATGCAATTCGGAGCACAGTAAAAAATTCAGACCTAAAACGCTCCGTTTACTGCACTATGTCCCTTCATCTTCGATACTTAAGATTTGTTTTTCAAATATTTCTTTATATATTCAAATGTTTAGTACTGTGTCAAGCATTGTAAAAGATAGTTGGTGTTTTTTGTTTTTTTCAAGAATTGAATATAATTTAAATAAAATATTAAATAATGTAGTTGATATAATTTTTACTGTTTTGAAATTACACTGAAGATGAGGCATATCATGGTCTCATATACATGGTCTGTTCAAAAAGTTTTCGGAATTTTCGTTTTTTCAAAAAAATATTTATTCGTCTACATTAATGTGGTCCCCTTCAAAGTAGTCCCCCCCAGATATAATACACTTATGCCAGCGTTTTTTCCAATTTTCGAAGCACCCTTGATATTCACTTTTTGATATGTCCTTGAGCACTCTCAGCGATTTTCTTCAATCGAGGAAAACCGCCGTCCTTTCATGGGTCTCTTCAACTTTGGGAATAGGAAAAAGTCACACGGAGCCATATCTGGTGAATTTTTGCACTTTGCAACACTTTCATTTTTTACGCAAAATTTAATACAAATTCTTTGACTTTTCAATTCTTCCATTGTAAAAATCGCCGAGCTCAGAAAAACACGTCGAACCTTAGCGACTACCACAGACAAAGTAAACAGTGAATATAGCTGAAAATTTCATCATACTTTAGGGGCATGTATACCAACACAATAAAAAAAAAATTTTGACAATCAGACACTCCAGACCCGCGAAATTTAATTATTAGTAATTCCGGGTACTTTTTGAACAGACCTCGTGTTGATGTTGGGGGGTTTCTCAACCCCTTTCGAAGTATTTTATACTTCGAGGAAAAATAAAAAAATTAAATGTATTCAGAAAACAAAAACCAATGGTAAACAAATATAAATTAAAAATAAAATTCTTCTTACTCCGTAATCAATAATAAACTAAAATATATTCTATATAAATTTTATATAAATGAAAAAACAAAAATGAACACTAATTAATATTGTATGAAAATGTTATCTGTTTTGGAAGTCCAAGCCGCGGCAGCTATTTGGTTGGATCTGGAAACATCAGCGTAGTCGGTTGGATAGGTTGAAAAGAAATTCGAATACACTGACAAATAAAAATAACTGTTGACTTGACACACAATAGAAATTTAATCCACTGATAATATTGAACTGATAACAAACACTGAAAGGAACTGAATGTATTGATTGCAAGTAACTGAATGAATGAATTAAACCAAAATGAATGAAAACCACGGAATAAATCAACTCGAACACTGTAAGGAACTGAAAGTAACTGAACGAATGAAAGGCGCGGAATGAATTGATTTGAATGCCAAAAACTATTGCCTGCATCGGCCTTTTTATGAGTCAGAATTGCCCGATTGCCTAAATTTGAAACGTATTGTCCGAGTAGAAAAGCAAACCTTTTACAGGTCCGACAACCTACACAGGTGCGGCGCAAACATTTTCCCCCGACTAAAAGGTTAGCCTTTTATACTTCTGAAAATACTCGAAATTGGTACATAGTGAACCTCATGATTAGGAAGGATAGAATTGCCAAAATAAATTCAAACTTTCATTCAGAGTAGATCGGTTACGGAAGCCTGACCTCGCGCCAGGGTCCCGCTCTCACAACCTACCACATTCACACAATCTAGATTGCGGAAGTTTTATTTTCGCGCCAGGGTCTAGATTTTTTTGGACATTTACAAGAATCTTCCAGAGACTATGAGGGGTGTTCTCATCGCCCTGGAGATTGAAAATTTGGCAAAACTATATATAGAAGCAAATATATCATGAGATAGAAAAGTTTTTTTTTTTTTTTTTTTTAATGAATAATTCAGATACAAACTATTGAATAGGTAGGGGGCATAGTTTGACAACAGGCCGCTTGATTAGGGTATTTACCGTTTTTACCAATGCTACTCGAACCACTCCATCGGAGCCCGGAAAAACCTCTTCAACTCTTCCCAACCCCCAATGGAGCGGACGCGCATTCTCTTGTTTTACAACTACCAAATCACCCTTTTTAATAGGATTAGTGACTGTATTCTATTTCTGTCGGACGTGTAGCTCGGTTAGATATTCCACATTCTATCGCTTCCAGTAAGAAGCGACAATATGATCTAGCAATTGTTTTCTTTTAGTCAAATTCAAGTTTTCATAGTCAACGGGCAAATCCGACAGAGGCTCTTGCATTAAAAAGTGCGCAGGCGTAAGAGGCTGAGGGTCCGACGGATCATTGCTCAGCCAACATAACGGTCTTGAATTCAGTAAGGCTTCGATTTGATTGAGGACTGTATTAAACTCTTCGTAGGATAAAATTTGCAACCCTATAACTTTAAACAAATGGGTCTTCACTGATTTAATATTCGCCTCCCATATACCTCCAAAATGTGGGGCAAACGGTGGATTAAATTTCCATTCAATGTCATGTAAAACCAATAATTCATTGAAACGCTTTTTATACTCTTCGGAATTTAGGAGAAGGAATAAGGAATCAAGAGTATTTTTGGCTCCTATAAAATTGGTTCCACAATCGGAGTAAATACATTTAATAGGACCACGCCGGGCTAGGAATCGTTTCAAGCAATCTAAAAATGTATCGCTTGTTAAATCTGAAGCTAATTCGAGATGTATCGCCTTAGTGGCTAAACAGATGAACAAGCATATATAAGCCTTGTAGGTTCGAGCGCCTCGGTGACGACTCATGGAGATATTGAAGGGGCCTGCATAATCAATGCCGACGTTTAGGAAAGCTCTACTGGCTGTTATGCGCGGTACTGGTAAGTCGCCCATGAATGGAAAAATGGGTTTCGGATTCTGTCGAAAGCAAGTCATACACTTGTGAAGACGATTACGAATTATTGCACGAGCCGACAAGATCCAATATTTTTGCCTCAATAAAGATAATACTAAGTTTGATCCAGTATGTAAATTATTAATATGGTAGTAATCTATGAGACAATTTACTACTTGGTCTTTTTTTTGGCAAAAGAAGTGGATTGTTATTAGTTGTTAATCCTAATCTACCTTTAACGCGTAAACAATTATTAGAATCCAAAACCAAATTTAGTCGGCAAAACTTTTTCGAACAAGACTTTCCGTTCGTTAATAGTTTGAATTCTTCGGGAAAATGGTGTTCTTGGACTAATCGAATAATAATTACCTCGGCTTGTTTCAAATCTGAAGTCAAAAGTCGGTTTCGATTTGTTATAATTTTACAAAACTTCAATATATAAGCGAAAATTCTTACAAGTTTGCACCAACTAGAAAATTTTTGCGTTAATTCATATAAAGGATTGATCGGTGGTATGACACTCTTTACTATTAGAACGTTAGCTTTTCTTTCTTGATCAATATCTCCGGAAGGTTCAACCGTTTTTGCAGGCCAAGTTGATATAGGACCATTCAACCAATCCGGCCCAAACAACCAATTCTTATGTTGGATAAATTCCTTAGGTCGAAGACCTCGGGAAACACAATCGGCTGCATTTTGATGAGAAGGAATGTGAAGCCATTGTGCATTAGGAATGAGATCCCGTATTTTTGTTATCCTATTGGCTACAAATGTTTTCCAACGAGTAGCCGGTCCTGCTAACCAGTGAAGGACAATCATAGAATCGAAAAAACAGTAAATGGAATCAAAATCTATACTATGTTGGTTATTCGTTAATATAAAATTCAGAAGTTTTGACAGTAAATGACAGGCACAAAGTTCAAGCCTGGCTAATATTTGGTTTTTAATCGGTGTTACACGTGATTTTAAAATCAACAAGAAATTCGGATTGCCAAGAGATTTAATATAAACTACCGCTCCATACGCTTGCTCTGAACTATCCGCGAAACCAAATAATGAACATTTGTTTTGTTTTGACGTTTCGAGATAACGCGGAATCTGATAGTTATTAAGATGCTCTAATTCGGAATATACGGCTAACCAGGATGTAATAATAAATGATGGTAATTCCTCATCCCAATCGATTTTTAATGTCCAAATTTTTTTCAATAATATTTTTATCTTAACAACTATCGGAGTTAGGAAACCCAGAGGATCCCAGATTCGCGCTATTACTGAAAGAAGTTGTCTCTTTGTCCATTTTCTCCACGTAAGCTTTATTTCGAATGAAAAATTATCTGATAAGGGATTCCATTTTAATCCCAATACCTTTGTAGAAGTTTCTATTTCAAAATCCGATTTAGAGAAATGTTTGTTTTGTACATCAGAATTAGGAAAAAGTTTACGTAGATTACAATTATTAGATTCCCACTTTTTTAATTCAAAACCACCAGACGATAATACAGTCTGCAAACCCTCGCAAATGGTTTTAGCGCTATCCAAGGAGTCGATACTTGTAACCACATCATCAATATAGACATCGTTCTCAAGAATTCTAGAAATAGATTGAGAATATTTGGAACATTCGTCTCGGGAAAGTTGTTTGATGGTTCTGATAGCTTGAAAGGGAGATGACGATAGACCAAAAGTTACAATATTTAATTCATAGATGCCAATGGGTGCATCGGGAACCGGTCTCCATAAGATTTTTTGATATTTTCTATCTTGTTTACGAACCCAAATATTACGATACATTTGTTTGATATCAGCTGTTAATGCTATAGGCCCGAAACGAAAATTTAGAAGGATTGAACAAATGTCGGTTTGTAATTTAGGACCAACATGCAAAATTTCGTTCAAGGAAGTGAATTCTGAATTTTTCGCAGATGCATCAAACACAACGCGTAAAGGCGTAGAGGAACTTTCTTTTTCGACTGCGAAATGATGAATATAATATCCATTTTTTATTTTAATAAAATCATCGACTTCCTGATCTACCGGACAATAATCGACAAAGGATAATTGGTTTTGAGTCAGGTAATCTTCTATAACGGCGGCATATTTTTTATGAAATTCGGGATATTTCAAAAATTTATTTTCAAGCATTTGGTATCGCTTTAAGGCTAAATGAAATGATTTGTATAAATTTCTGCCTTCACTTTTAAAAGGCAGCGCTACTACATATCGTCCATCTGGAGATCGCGTAGTAGTTGTAGTAAAATGGTTTTCGCATAAATCATCGTTAGAAGAGAGGATTATTTCGGGAATGTCTTCTAATTGTAAGAATTTATTCATTTGTAAATGGAAATCTGAATTTGAAACATTACATAAATTAGTAGAAGTGCCGGTATTTTCAAATAAATCAGGAATGGAACCTAATATTAAATAACCCAACCGGGTTTCTAGGGCCACAGGTAATCCTTTATCATTTTTAACTTGATTAGTGCCAAGAATTTCGCCGAAAACATCGCAACCCAAAATTCCGTCGACCTCCTGGGGTGTATGAAAGTTAGGATCCGCTAAAGGATAATTCAGAAATGTTTTGATGGATGAAATTTTTTTTTTTTTTTTTTTTTTAAACTTTATTACTAATTATTTTTTCTTTTTTTTTTTATCTTACATACTACATATATTTAACTTTTTCTTTACATATTTTTACTGTTTATTACATTTTTCTTTACGAATATTTCTTCCAAGGGCAGGTCCGTGGGTTGAGTTGAAAATGCACTCAATCATGGTTGCGCGATGTCAGAGCCTTTACATTTTTCTGTTGTATAGGGATACAAATTCGACTTCCTTTTTGTATTTCAAAGCGATACCATCTTAGTACCTCTTTACTTCCAAGTGGCGTGTTGCACTACAGCTTTGCCCACGAAAGGCCATTTTCACTTGAAATCATATTTGAAATCTATGATTTCAAGTGAAAATTTGGTATCAAGCTGTTTTGATACCGAACCGACCGAGGTTGGATTCGAACCCGGGACTAGGATTTGCTAGCCCACGTTCTTACCACGGGACCACGGCCGGTCCACTAAAATCGGAATGGTAATTTGTGGTTGCTTTCCCACTATCTCGTGTACTACGTATGCACAGACCGATAACTGATAAGAATCGATTAAAGATTTCAAAGTGAAATTAACTAATCCAATAACTTTATGTGACGAATTGCCTAACCCGATCACTTGGGTTGATATTGGAAGAATTTGTAAATCAGCCTTTTTGCACCAAGTTAATGTCACAAAATTTCTATCGCTTCCCGAATCAATAATTGTACGTAATAAAATGTTTTCTTTTCTAGTAGTAACTTTTACTACTGCTGTCGGCAATATGGTAATATGATGTGCGATTTTGTTTTGATTAAATGCGCATAAAACCGTACTACTTGATTTGGAATTAGAAAGATTATTTTGATCCGTACTCGCAAAATTGCTACCAGTATGCAATAGCGAGTGATGTCGTTCGTTACATAATAAACAGGTTTTATTCGATCGACACGTAGTCGTTATCTTATGACCCAAACAATTGTCGCATAAGTTTAATTTTTGAATAAGGGATCGCCTATCAGGTTTACTCAATGAAAGAAATTTCGAACAAGTAAACACTCTGTGTTGTTCCCGACACACAAAGCATTTGTTATCATATTTATTTTTTAACAAAAATGACCGGCTAATTTTAGTGTTTTTGTAATTGGGTTTGTCATTAGTGAAATTGTTGGTCATACCATATACTTGATTTTTTGCCTGTTGTGACTTTTGAAGAAAATGCAGGAGGTCTTGGTATTTGGGAAACTCACCTTGATAAAAATGCTCGAATTTTTCTTGTAACAACGGATCGAGTTTCGAGAATGCCAGTGACGTAATAAGGAAATCATAGGCGTCGGGAATATTCAATTGGGAGAGCGCTTGCACCGCGGTATCGAATTTTTCCAGGAATGAATTTATTTGTCCAGATGAAATGGTTTTGAATGACAATAGTTGTTTGAAATAATTGGTGGCTAAGTACCGTTTATTTTGGTATTTTTTTATGAGCGCTTCCCAAAGAATTTGATAATTATTTGCGGTCGGTAGTATAGAATGGAATATTTTTAAAACCGGGCCCTGTAACGCTCCTTTTAAAAAATGAAATTTTGAAACATTATCTAACTCGGTATTTTCATGAATTAGTGAATTGAATGTTTCATAAAATAATGGCCATTGTTGAATATCTCCTGAGAATTTAGGTACTTCAATGGACGGTAAATGTTGTTTGGGTACTATGTCTTTAATTGAAGAACTATGCGCATTTTTATTATCTAGTAATTTCTCAGCGTGTTTTATTTTGGCATACATCGTTTCAAGGGCCTTTATTGCGGAATATTCCGGAATGAAACTAGGATTATCTAAATATTTTAATTTGTTTATTTCATCGCACAATTGAATAAATTGTTCACGAGCATTTTCAGTAATATATAAATTTTCAAGAAATTGTGTCTTATTTGAAGATACATCAATCTGTTGCGATAGATCGTACGTTTCTTGCACAATTGAAAAGTACATCTCTCTCTTGGCGGTTAGACGTGCAATTTCTGCACCAATATCGATTTTAGGCGCCATTATATATTTTTGTTTTCTGTATACACCCAATTAATCCTAATAATAATTAGGATCCGGCTCGAAGGACCAAATGTTGATGTTGGGGGGTTTCTCAACCCCTTTCGAAGTATTTTATACTTCGAGGAAAAATAAAAAAATTAAATGTATTCAGAAAACAAAAACCAATGGTAAACAAATATAAATTAAAAATAAAATTCTTCTTACTCCGTAATCAATAATAAACTAAAATATATTCTATATAAATTTTATATAAATGAAAAAACAAAAATGAACACTAATTAATATTGTATGAAAATGTTATCTGTTTTGGAAGTCCAAGCCGCGGCAGCTATTTGGTTGGATCTGGAAACATCAGCGTAGTCGGTTGG